ATGAAATTTACTCAAATATATAAATCCATTCTAATCTCGTTAATTTTGAAAATTTTTCATTTTTCATCAGGTAAGTTTCATCGTTTCGTTTAATTATTTCTCGTTCTTTTTTGTTTTTGTTTGTTTTAGATTATCAATTTCGAAAGAAAAACTAATTTAGTAATTAGTCTAGTAATTGATTGAATGATATGTTTTTTCTCTCTTCGAATCTTCTTGATATTGTTGAAAGGATAAATATATATAATTAGAAAAATGATACCTGAAAAACGGTTAATAGTGCAAAGGTAAATGAATCAAAATTTTTTCTTTGTTCTAAACAATTGAAATCTTTGAGATGAGTATCATTTTTATAAATATAATATTGATAACATTTACAACATTTACATTTAACATGAATTTGTTTATGTGATGTTATATTGAATGCTTCTATTGAACTAAATTCACCACCAAATAAATGCATACCAAGAATACTATATATATATAGACAACTTTATTAACAACATTATACCAAAGCAAAACAACAACAAATATATTATCGCGCACTTTTTATCATAACAATAATATATAAAACATTGAAAGCATGGACAATTTTTGTGAGTTGTTTTTTGTTTTTACGAAAGCCTGAATAATAAAATATTTTATTTACTTGAAAAACAGTTAAAATTGCCCATAAAAGAGAATCGAAGTTTTTTCTTGAACATTCAAATTCAAGACGTTTTGTATGTTTAACTTCGATGTATTTGCAAAATTTGCAACCAAAAAGATTCATACCCAATATACTGGAGAAGAATTTTTTATTATTTACATATTTACATTTATTTACATATATATATATATATATTAAGAAATTTTCTTCTTTTTACACTTACCTGAATATGAAAATAAATAGAAGTAATAAAGAAAAAAATGTCGCCACATTATCCATTGTTTTAAGCATAACAATCTATTAAATAATAATATAAATTATATACGTATATGTATTTATTTATTTATTTATTTTTAAAGTAAATAAAATAGATAATTAAACTCTCAAGTTGAATTTAATGTAATTTGTTAAGAATTAAAAAATTGTATAATTTAATATATTCTATCTAAATTGATCATTCTTAATCTTATTCTCAAGTCGTAAAATATTTTTCAAAAAGTTGTTTGAAAAATAAATCTAATCGATTTAAATGATATTTTTTATTTTTTATTTTTTATTATGTTTATAAATATGAAAATATGATACTTTCTATAAAGTAATTATAATTAAAAATAGGTTAATATATATTAATATAATAGTTTATTAATGATAATTATCATTAATTTTGAATATAATTAAAATATTTTATATATATAATCAATAGATAAATATAAATAGTTAAAAAAAAAAAAAATAAGATTAAAATAAAATTTCTTACCAATTGTCGTCTAAGTGTTGGCATAAATCTAACAAGTTTAAGTACACGTAATAATCTAAATGTACGTAAAACCGATAAACCACTATTTTTATTTCCTTGTAATTCAATAAGACTCATTATAACAATTGAACTATCAAATAAATTATAAGCATTTTTAATATATTTAAGACAACCATCAGCAATTATTTTTAAAATCATTTCAATAGCAAATAATGATGTAAATACTAAATTACT